GACAGAAGGACTGACGTTGGTTCTCCCCAAGACCCCCGCCACAACCGCCCCCCCACTCCCAGGAGGGCGCCAAGTGAGGCTGAGGCGCAGAGGGGACAGGAGGCAGGACAGCGCAGTGAAGCAAACAGGGCTACAGAGAGGAAGCCCGAATGATAGGGGAGGTGACAGTGATCGGTGAGCCCGAGCCAGGAGCCGCCGGAGACGGGGACGCTGATCATTCGGTCGGTCCGTCTAAAACCAAGTTCGTATCTTGAGAGTAAACTGAAAAGCTCAAGACACCGAAGAGCATTTTCCTTTTCTCAGATGAAGGAGGGCTTCCTTGATGCTTGGAGCCTTATAAAGTAATTGTTCTCCAATCTCAGGAAGTAAATTCACAACGTCGCTGGTGCGTTCATTCCTGGAGGCGAGAAAATGCGCCGCTCGGTCGGGCCTTTGCTGCCCCCTGCTGGCTGCAGCGTGTCTCTGCCCGCTCCCTGGAGATGGGAACCAGGCTGAAACTGCCTCTTGGCGACGGGTTAAAGCTCAGTTATCCCTTCCCTGGCGCCCAAATCGGACTGCTAGAGCTGAACGGGACTTAAGGCTCCAAGCGCGACCTCTCCCCTAAGCTTTAGACTTGAATTTGGATCAGCCTTCTGGATATTTCCACTCGGACTTCAGACCCAGGAGGCCAGTGACAGTCTGTCTCTGCAGATCTGCTGGCTCCACTGCATAAACTCCTGTCCGTGAACAGCACATTGTCCCGCCACCCACCCCCAAGACCCTCCAGACACTCCCCGTGTTGGCCTCCACGTCCTGGTAGTTGCAAATCCTGTGGAGAGCGCTGGGAGGATTCTGCCTCACGGGACCCTCATCCTCATGAACCTGTGCCAGCAGCTTCCTGAGGCTGTGCTGCCAGAGAGCAGCCTTCGCAGACATACTAAGGGATGATATGCTTATGGACATAGATATAGACGTGGGCACATAGAGATGGAGATGGAGAGAGAGAGATTTCAAGATCCTCTGCAGATTGAAGTCCAAACTCCTCACTTGACCTACAAAACCCTTCATATCCGACTCGGACCTGTCTCTCTAGACCCATCGTACACCCCCTCCTTGCCTTTCATTCCAATAACAGGGCACTTGCTCATCTCGAAATTGTTTTTATCCATTCTCTAAACACTTACGGGTTCTTATTAAGTGCCAGGCTTTGAGAGCCGCTGAGATACAGAGAGGAGCAACGAGGGGATCACACAGGCAGACCAAGCCCCCCCCACACGGCCCAGACAGCATCAGATGGCCTGGGGGGAGGATTACCTGCTCTATAAAAAGTGCATCCACTTGGCACAGATTCCCATGCCGCACTGTATTAGTGTTCTCTTGCTGCATAATGAATCGCCACTGACTTCGTGGCTTATAGTAACACATGCTCATTGTGTCACCGTTTCCATGGGTTAGGAGTCTGGGCACACCTTAACAGGGCCCTCTACTTGGGGTCTCGCAAAGCATCGGTCAAGGTGTGGGCTGAGCTGGGCTCCTTCCTGGAGCTTGGGCATTCTCCTCCAAGTTCATGACTGTTGGTTCCTGTGGTTGTGGGACGGAGGACCTGCTTTCATGCCAGTCATCAGCAGGGGGCTGCTCTCAGGTCCTAGAAGCCCCAGTTTCTTGCCTTGTGGCCCTCACAGACCCCTCACAACATGGCAGCTTGATTCAAAGCCAGCAGAAGATTGTCTCCTCATTCTGCTAAGACAGAGTCTTACAGGAAGTAGCAATCGCAGCTGCATCTACCCCACTGCCTTTACCATGGAACTAAACCTAATCAGGGAGCTGGTTCTGTCACCTTTCCCACATTGTATTGTTAGAAGCAAGTCAAGGGTTCTGCCCGCACTCACAGATGGGGATTGTACGCAGGTGTGGCTTGATGGGGGTCACCTTAGAGCATGCCCACCTTGTTCCGCAGCATTCGATCAGCTGTGGGATGCTGAGCTATCTCTTCCCCCCACACATGCCCCAGCCCAGCCTCCAGCTCCATGTTCATTGCCAACAAACAGCAGAGCCCCTCATACAAGGCCCTGGTTCATGGTCTGCTTTGCAGGCCCATGAGCTTAAAATTTGAGACAATCTTGTCCTTAAGAATCCTTCAGCATGTGGCTAGGCCCTATCTTCTTCTCTTCTTTGCCATTCCCGGCGGTCAACACCAACTCCCACCTCCAATTTCTAGTTAAATTTTCTTGATGAATAGTTTAGCGGTCTCACGCCTTGAGGGTTGCAACTTCCACTTCAGTGGGATCGATAAAATGTTTCAGTAGACAAAGGCAGTTTCTGCTCTAAGAGGATTTCTGGTGTGAGGGATTAAAGTCATATGTTTTATTTACTACACCCTGCGAGTGAATGATTGCAAAGTGATAATGGGTTATGATCAGTATGGGAGTAGAAATGCATCAGGGTGCTCTCTGGTCCCAAGGGAGGGGTCCCACAGGAGAACCTGCAGAGAGTAGCTGGAGTCATGGAAGGCTCTGGAGGCAAGGCGTGAGTGGCACTGCCAAGCATTAGCAGGAGGATGAAGGGGCACGGGGCAGTGGGGCGGGTGGGGACGAGAACAGACACACATGGGCTCAGAGTCTGAGGAAATGCTGTCATCTGTATGGCCAGTCTTGGGGGGTGGTTGGGGAAGCAACAGCAGATGAGACCATGGAAAACAAGGCCAGATCACAAAAGGCCCACGCCCCTTGCTAAAGGAGATTGGTCTGGGTTTTGTGTTCATGAACTTTCCCACTTTCTGCACATGCACATGTTACCCACGTTGCCTCGGGGGCCACACTCCAGGTCCACACACAAACAAATGCAGGATGTCCTGGATAAATTGGAACATATGGTCAACCCTGACTAAGCCTCAAGTACTCTTCCAACCCCTTAGCCGTAGTTTCTTGCATGCTTCCAGTCTGGTACTCCCAAAGCAGGTGGTGGGCACCAGCATCATAACCTCAACCACACTGTTTTTGTCCTCTGTGTCCCTTAGTCCTTGAAAATGAGGGCTAGGTTTTTTTCACATTTGTATCCTTAAAACCTATACTCTGCTTAGGACAGATGAGGAACTTGATATATTGAAATTACACCTCAATAAAATAATAGCTAACACTTAGAGAAGGTTAACCATCTACCAGGCACTGTTCTGGGCACCTTGAATCCATCACTGAGTAATTGAGGATATTGACATTTTATGGATTCGTTTTACAGAAGTGAAAACCAAAACACAGAGAGTTCATGTAACTTGCCTAAGATGACAGAGCAAAAGAGGAAGAAGAAGATTCTAATCTAGGTCTTCTCTCCAGAGCCTATGAGTGAATATGAGTGAATAAAATGAAGTCTTGAGATGACTAGAGTGTGGACTTGCAGAGTCATCCAAGAGCGCATTTCCCAGGGCCTGGCCAGCCAGTCATGAGTGCGTGTCTGGGACCACACCAGGCATCATCTGCATGATCCTATACAGTTGAGCAAAGGGCTCCACATCCATTATGTCCTGTGGTCCTCACAGTAGCTGTGATCTCCAGGCAGACTCACGATTTCCATTCTATGAGTGTGATCATCAAGTTTCCCGAAGTCAGTGAGCTGCTCAAGACCACATAGAAAGTACCAGAGCCTCCTTTTGAGCCTGTGTCTTTGCACTCCAAATTCTGTGGTCTTTTTCCTGACAACACAGTTATCCTGACGGCGATGATCCCTTCTGGTGAAATTCTTCATCTCTAAAATGGCAGTGGCCAGATCCACCTTGGAAGGCGTTTCTGAGAGGATAGTGAGCTGATAGTTGCAAAGTGGTGAGTGGAAGGTGCTTCTTAAATGGTGATGGCGGTAAAATAGCAGTGAAACGTTACCACAGTCATTGTCCTGATCACTACCTGAGAAGATTTGGGATTCAGGACAGGCAGATTCCAGGCATGGGTTGGGAGTTGTGAATTTAAAGTAAAATGGCCAAACCCAGGAGGGAGTTGAAAATCTTGATTAGATTCCAGGCAGGCTTGGAAGTGTAGATTCAGGTCTGCAGATGAGCAGGATTATTGATCAGAAAATGTGGATTGATTAGGATCACCAAGGGTCAGAGCCTGGGCTTGAGTCTCCAGCCAAGGCCAGGAGCAGACGCTCCCAAACACCCTTACGTTACGGCCCTTGCCATCACACCACGAGGTGGCTCTCTGTTTGTCTGGACAGACCTCGTGAGGACCAATCCAGCTTCTCCATCAGTGAGTTCCAGCTCTGTGTCCCTGGTGCCTGCCATATCAATAATGAATGAAGAATGCACAGGTCAGTGCCCTCTTACACAGCAAGCCAAAAAAGCATGGACTAGAACCTAGCAGGGGGAATGGATACCATATTACACAGAGCAAGAGAGCTTGGAGTATGTGGTACCAAGACTCACACATGGATCCTAGCTAGTAATTTCGCTCTTAGACACCAGGGAGCCTGATGCTGACCACTGAACCAAGGGGGGAGAACCATTTTTCTTTGCTGAACCAATGAAGCATGCACACACACACTCTCCCTCCCACCCAGACACGCAGAGTTTATCGAAAGAAAAATCTCAAAGGATTGTTTGCAGTTTGCACCTGCCTGAGGCATTGAAAATCACTGTCCTGTATGTGTAGGACATATTATCACTATATTTGTATTTCTCCTGATTTTCCAAAGCCTGTGGTTCACTTTTGGTCTTTGGCCATCTGCAGCCCCCCAGTGTTGGGAACAGACGATCTAGTTCAATTCTATCTAAATAACTGATTCCACTAACTAGCTGGTAAAATAAAAGTATGCATATTGCTTAACCTCTCTCAGCCCTGTTTTCTTTAACTGGAATTATCATTCCTACCTGCCTTATAGGTTTGTTGTGAGGTAATGTGGGCTAATGTACAATTCATCTACCAGTGTCCGAAGGCAGCTGAAGCTTCACTCAGCTGAGACCTTTCGTTGTCTAGTTTCGGCAGCAAGCCAAGACCTGATGATGCCTCCTTAGTCTCCTTTTTCCTTCCTTCCAGGTTCCTGATTGTCCTGGGGTGCTTGATTTTGGCCATCCTGACCACGTTCAGGGAGTACGAGACTGTTTCGGGGGACTGGCTTCTGCTACTGGTAAGATAGTGCACCCACCATGGTGTTGCTCTGAGGTGGAGGCCCCTGGCTGGACCTTCACAGCAAAGGTCAGGAGGCTGCCATTGGGTACAGCTCTGCCAAACTCTCTCTGGCTTCCTAGAGTTTCTGGCCAATTCCAGGCTCAAAAGAATGATGCTTGAATCCACTGGTCAGGTCGGCCCTGGGCACAGGTGTAGTGAGGAATTTGTTATTCTAGACTAGAGGTAAGGGCATATACCAGGTCAAAGCATAACCAATACATGTTAGGCATGTTGTAGTTATATTATACTGGAATATTAGGCTCAGAGCCTGGTTCCCAGTCTGCGGTTCCTTCTTTGCCATGTTCTGTCCTTGAGAAATTGGTTTAACTGCTCCTTGACTTGGTTTCTCAAAACATAAGATGAGAATAAGTCCATAAACACTTGGGTGGTACCTGGCCCGGAAGCCTCATTCAGTAACTCTTGGCCTCAGTTAGCGATTCCAGGGCCAGACCCTGGGTGGGGTTAGTAGAGTGTGGTTCATTGACACCTGTCTTTCCAACCTAACTGCTCTTCTCAGAGGCTTTTAGTACAATAATGGGACTTTTTAAAAAATGATCCACTGGAACAAAAACATAGGAAAAAGAACAAGTAATTACTTTGCAAGGCTTAATGTAAGGGACAGTTAGCCCATCAGAATGCAGGCAGGTGACTGAATGGAGGTGATCCACCTGTTCTTCTGCCCCCTGCCCCAGCGAAGCAGCAGTGGCAGCGACCGAACTCCTCACAACTTCAGAACGGAAGTGTCCAGGGCCAGATGTGCGGGTCCCGGTTAATCAGTGTTCCTCCGTATGTTCTTCAATGCAGGAAACATTTGCTATTTTCATCTTCGGAGCCGAGTTTGCTCTGAGGATCTGGGCTGCCGGATGTTGCTGCCGATACAAAGGCTGGCGGGGACGGCTGAAGTTCGCCAGGAAGCCCCTATGCATGTTGGGTAAGCCTGGAGCCCAGGTTGAGTGGAGGCTGAGGGCCCTTCCTGGGTGAACTATTTGTCTGGGGACATTTTAAGCAGACGCCATCCCTCTGGGAAATCACGTGGTGTTGTGGAAGCCAGCCCGGCCTCTGACCCTCCTCGATGAGGAGCTGTATGAGTGAATATGAGTGAATAAAATGAAGTCTTGAGATGACTAGAGTGTGGACTTGCAGAGTCATCCAAGAGCGCATTTCCCAGGGCCTGGCCAGCCAGTCATGAGTGCGTGTCTGGGACCGCACCAGGCATCATCTGCATGATCCTATACAGTTGAGCAAAGGGCTCCACATCCATTATGTCCTGTGGTCCTCACAGTAGCTGTGATCTCCAGGCAGACTCACGATTTCCATTCTATGAGTGTGATCATCAAGTTTCCCGAAGTCAGTGAGCTGCTCAAGACCACATAGAAAGTACCAGAGCCTCCTTTTGAGCCTGTGTCTTTGCACTCCAAATTCTGTGGTCTTTTTCCTGACAACACAGTTATCCTGATGGCGATGATCCCTTCTGGTGAAATTCTTCATCTCTAAAATGGCAGTGGCCAGATCCATCTTGGGAGGCGTTTCTGAGAGGATAGTGAGCTGATAGTTGCAAAGTGGTGAGTGGAAGGTGCTTCTTAAATGGTGATGGCGGTAAAATAGCAGTGAAATGTTACCACAGTCATTGTCCTGATCACTACCTGAGAAGATTTGGGATTCAGGACAGGCAGATTCCAGGCATGGGTTGGGAGTTGTGAATTTAAAGTAAAATGGCCAAACCCAGGAGGGAGTTGAAAATCTTGATTAGATTCCAGGCAGGCTTGGAAGTGTAGATTCAGGTCTGCAGATGAGCAGGATTATTGATCAGAAAATGTGGATTGATTAGGATCACCAAGGGTCAGAGCCTGGGCTTGAGTCTCCAGCCAAGGCCAGGAGCAGACGCTCCCAAACACCCTTACGTTACGGCCCTTGCCATCACACCACGAGGTGGCTCTCTGTTTGTCTGGACAGACCTCGTGAGGACCAATCCAGCTTCTCCATCAGTGAGTTCCAGCTCTGTGTCCCTGGTGCCTGCCATATCAATAATGAATGAAGAATGCACAGGTCAGTGCCCTCTTACACAGCAAGCCAAAAAAGCATGGACTAGAACCTAGCAGGGGGAATGGATACCATATTACACAGAGCAAGAGAGCTTGGAGTATGTGGTACCAAGACTCACACATGGATCCTAGCTAGTAATTTCGCTCTTAGACACCAGGGAGCCTGATGCTGACCACTGAACCAAGGGGGGAGAACCATTTTTCTTTGCTGAACCAATGAAGCATGCACACACACACTCTCCCTCCCACCCAGACACGCAGAGTTTATCGAAAGAAAAATCTCAAAGGATTGTTTGCAGTTTGCACCTGCCTGAGGCATTGAAAATCACTGTCCTGTATGTGTAGGACATATTATCACTATATTTGTATTTCTCCTGATTTTCCAAAGCCTGTGGTTCACTTTTGGTCTTTGGCCATCTGCAGCCCCCCAGTGTTGGGAACAGACGATCTAGTTCAATTCTATCTAAATAACTGATTCCACTAACTAGCTGGTAAAATAAAAGTATGCATATTGCTTAACCTCTCTCAGCCCTGTTTTCTTTAACTGGAATTATCATTCCTACCTGCCTTATAGGTTTGTTGTGAGGTAATGTGGGCTAATGTACAATTCATCTACCAGTGTCCGAAGGCAGCTGAAGCTTCACTCAGCTGACACCTTTCATTGTCTAGTTTCGGCAGCAAGCCAAGACCTGATGATGCCTCCTTAGTCTCCTTTTTCCTTCCTTCCAGGTTCCTGATTGTCCTGGGGTGCTTGATTTTGGCCATCCTGACCACGTTCAGGGAGTACGAGACTGTTTCGGGGGACTGGCTTCTGCTACTGGTAAGATAGTGCACCCACCATGGTGTTGCTCTGAGGTGGAGGCCCCCGGCTGGACCTTCACAGCAAAGGTCAGGAGGCTGCCATTGGGTACAGCTCTGCCAAACTCTCTCTGGCTTCCTAGAGTCTCTGGCCAATTCCAGGCTCAAAAGAATGATGCTTGAATCCACTGGTCAGGTCGGCCCTGGGCACAGGTGTAGTGAGGAATTTGTTATTCTAGACTAGAGGTAAGGGCATATACCAGGTCAAAGCATAACCAATACATGTTAGGCATGTTGTAGTTATATTATACTGGAATATTAGGCTCAGAGCCTGGTTCCCAGTCTGCGGTTCCTTCTTTGCCATGTTCTGTCCTTGAGAAATTGGTTTAACTGCTCCTTGACTTGGTTTCTCAAAACATAAGATGAGAATAAGTCCATAAACACTTGGGTGGTACCTGGCCCAGAAGCCTCATTCAGTAACTCTTGGCCTCAGTTAGCGATTCCAGGGCCAGACCCTGGGTGGGGTTAGTAGAGTGTGGTTCATTGACACCTGTCTTTCCAACCTAACTGCTCTTCTCAGAGGCTTTTAGTACAATAATGGGACTTTTTAAAAAATGATCCACTGGAACAAAAACATAGGAAAAAGAACAAGTAATTACTTTGCAAGGCTTAATGTAAGGGACAGTTAGCCCATCAGAATGCAGGCAGGTGACTGAATGGAGGTGATCCACCTGTTCTTCTGCCCCCTGCCCCAGCGAAGCAGCAGTGGCAGCGACCGAACTCCTCACAACTTCAGAACGGAAGTGTCCAGGGCCAGATGTGCGGGTCCCGGTTAATCAGTGTTCCTCCGTATGTTCTTCAATGCAGGAAACATTTGCTATTTTCATCTTCGGAGCCGAGTTTGCTCTGAGGATCTGGGCTGCCGGATGTTGCTGCCGATACAAAGGCTGGCGGGGACGGCTGAAGTTCGCCAGGAAGCCCCTATGCATGTTGGGTAAGCCTGGAGCCCAGGTTGAGTGGAGGCTGAGGGCCCTTCCTGGGTGAACTATTTGTCTGGGGACATTTTAAGCAGACGCCATCCCTCTGGGAAATCACGTGGTGTTGTGGAAGCCAGCCCGGCCTCTGACCCTCCTCGATGAGGAGCTGCCCCAGTCTTCCATGTGCTGAATTCCTCCTTCTGTGGCTTATCCTCCCAACGGCTCTATAGGGCAGCGATTCATAATTGGGGTGGGGATCACTGCGGGCTTTTGGGTGGTGGAGAGACAGCTTGTTGCTGGATGTCGAGCACCCCCAGGCCCTAGACTGGTGGTGCCCAGTCACTGTGACAACCAAAACTGGCTGTACATTTCCAGACTCGCTGCAGTGGGGGTAGGAGTCATGACACCATTGCTGTTTGAGAATTACTTCTATAGGACTCTGTTGTGCCCATTTTATGGAAGTGGAAACTGAGGCTCACAGAGCTGAGTCATTTTCTAGTCACATAGGTAGGAAGCAGCAGATTCCATCTTAATACCCAGGTCTGGAAGAATCTAGTCCCCGTCCTCTTACCCATCACCATGTTGCTGTGTCCTGACCCAAAAGTTGCTGTGGGAAGCTGTCAGTAAACCCCTGCATCCAATTGATAGCTTTCATTTACCCATTTGGTGCAGTATGGATCCTATATCTTTCCATCTGAAGATCCTGCTAAAATCATATAGTGACAGACAAAATCTGCCTTCATTGTGGGTAGGACTATTGGAACTTCAGACCCCTAGAAATGGTTAAAATTACAGGATCATTGGATGTCTGGGCTGGAAAAAGCATTTTTATGCTCTGAAGCATTTAGTCCAACATGCCCTCCTGCCTGATGCTCTGTCCCCTTTGCAGCAGCCTTCAAGGGGCCACCCATGTGGCTTGCACATCTCTTGTCTGGGGTGCTCACCACCTCTCAATGTTTTTATTTCCTCTTAATTCCACCTGTCTTCTTCAAATGCTTGAATCTAGCCATTCTGATCCTCCTCTCCACTCCAGCAGAATCCTCCTTTTTCAGGAAATGTGTGCCGAGTAGCTGCAACCTCACCTTCTGTCACACATTCTCAGCATCGTCGTCCCTCCTCTCTGAGTGGACTACCTGTCCCTATTTGCCCCACCGAAAAGTGACTCCCAGGACTGAACGCAGCCCTTGGGGTATGGATGGCCAGCCCAGGACAGAAAAGCTGGACCCACCCCTGCTAGGCGCCAGTCTTCTCTCCGTGAGGCCTGGGCTTGCACGACCCTGCGTGCGGGCTGCTCACAGCCAGTCTGTACCCTTGCTGTCCGCTGATACCACTGCTCCTTCCTTCCCATCTGCTGCTGAGGTTGGACATGTGAGGGTTTTGTTTATTGCTCAGAATTTTGAATTCAAGTAGGGTGTGTGTGTGTGTGTGCGTGCGTGCATGCCCATGTGATTTTGGAGGACTTTTTAGCTACTGATTTTCCTGTCATATTTTTTCCTTCTTTCTTCCTTTGTCTTCCTCCCCTGCCTAGTCCTGTGTTAGTCCCTTTGGGCTGCCCTAACAGAACACCACAGACTGGGGGGCTTAAGCAGGAGAGATTTATTTCTCTCCATTGTGGAAGCTTGAAGTCCAAGATCAGGGTGCCCTCATGGTTGGCGTGTAGCTAGGGCTCTCCTCCAGGTTGCAGACTGCTGACTTCCTGGACTTCTCACTGTGTCTGCACCTGGAGAAAGGGGCCTGGGAGCTCTCTGGGGTCTCTCAAAGACCACTAATCCCATTCACGCAGGCTCCACCCTCATGACCTGATCACCTTCCAGAGGCCCCACCGCCTAATGCCATCACACTACAGATTAGGATCACAGCATAGGAATCTGGGGGGACACAGTTCGTCCATAGCAGCCCCCAGCTTTCCTTCTCTTCCTCTCTTATGTCTTCCGTTTGAGTCTTTTGCGATGTTAGGCTAAACTTCTCCTTCTTTGGCGGGACCTATCCAGTGCTGACCAGAAGTCATGTGGGGGTGGGGGGTGAGGGGCTGCAGGGAGGTTGGGCGAGGGGACTTTGGGATCGATAATGCCCCAATTCAGATAATCCTGCCCAGTTTGCGAACATCCTAGCATGTGGAGCCTGGACGCTCCAGGACAGGAACATCCCCACGGAGCCATAGGCACTGTTCCAAGGTGGGCTGATGTAAGGGCTCCAGTCACACTCCCCTGCTGGCCTTCCCTGGGGAGGCCGGGCTGGGCCTCAGCCTCCCACCATCCTGGCTGGTTTCTTTTCTGGTATTGCTGCATTTTCTGCTCTACTCACCTCAACTTCTCACATAACATGGCCCTCGTGGGAAATGTTGCTTTTCTCCACGTTCCTGACAAGCAGGTGTTACCGTGTTCCCAGACATCGTGGCCTGCATAGTCGGGGCAGCCTCAGGCCCTGCCATTTCGGGTGTGGAGTGGTCCACCTGGGGCAGAACCTGTCATTCATTCCCGAGCATCATAGACTTGAGTTACATTTGCCACACATCTAGTTTTGTTCTGTTTTGTTTTCTACAAACATTGTAAGTCGATAGCTTTGCACAGATAGACTGAGAACTCTGGCAAAGATGTAGACATATTGAGACCCAGATGTTTGAACTCTAGTTTTTCCCAAAAGTTAGGCACATCTGGGGGACACTTTGGCAAGGTAGAAAGGGTGCCAGCTGTTGCAGCAAACATGACTAGGTGTGAATTCAAGAGCCTATCCCAAGCTGAGAGACCAGCACATGCAAAGGTGTGGAGACATGAGTTTCCCAAGAGCCAGCTCACAGTTTTCAGTAGCTTGGACTTTGCCCAGTGGATAAACATTTCCTAAAGTGTGTTCCTTGGAACCCTGATGCTCTTGCAAAAAATATTTCTGTTTGAAATCTTTGGGGAAAGGCTATATTTCATTTGTATGATTGAAGTCACAGTGTGTATTAGCATGCTAAAGGCTCTGAGAAGTCCTGCAGGAGCAAAACCTATTCAACTGAATCTTTCCCAAACGTACTTGACCATGGGGTCCTTTGGGCTTGCTAGCCCTCTGCAGGAAGGTCACTGATATGGGCACTGGGGACCTGAAAGGAGTTAGGAAGAGACGAGGACACCATCTTCCACACTCGGCTATCTGAGTTCGGGAGCCTCAGGTGCTGCCCTTTCACAAGACCCTCATACCCTTGGCCTCCCCGCCTTCAGCCACGGCTGTGATGGCCCTTCCCACATCACTGCATGGCGGGCCTCATGTCTTCCCAGAGTCTACCCCGCGGTGTTTTCTGACAGTAAGAGAGATCAGCAGGCATGCAGCTCAGAAGTGGGCGGCCCTCAGCCAGCAGGGGACAGGAGCAGGTGGACACATGTCCCAGCCCCCATCTCTCAGAGGGATGATCTTGGCAGCTGTCGTGCTCCCAGCTCAGCGCCCCAGCAGCAGCCTTGATAGCACCACTTACTTTGGCTTTTTCTCCCTCCCGTCTCCCTTTCCCCTCATTTCTGCTTCCTGGGATTATTTCTGGATAAATTCCTGGTCTCACTGACCCCCTCTCGGCCTGAGAGCCACCCTCAAATGCCACCCTGGGGGACCTCGGGGATCATGTCCCTGGGGTTTAGAGGGAGCGTTGGAGTCTGACAGGCCTGTGTCCAGTCCCAGCTCCACTCCGTCTGCTGTGTCGCCTTGGGAAGGTGCTGGAGTTCAGGCTGCTTCTTCATCTGCCACAGGGGAGTTACGCACTTTGCCACATGCGGCTGATGTCACAACTCAACACAACGGTGCTTGGCCCGTGATCGTCCGTGGGTGGATACCGCCTGTGGCGGCCCATCACCTTCCCCTGACCTTTGCCTTCTCCCCTGTCACCTCTCTGTCCTCCCCAGACATCTTCGTGCTGATTGCTTCTGTGCCCGTGGTGGCCGTGGGCAACCAGGGCAACGTCCTGGCCACCTCCCTGAGAAGCCTGCGCTTCCTGCAGATCCTGCGCATGCTGCGGATGGACAGGCGGGGCGGCACCTGGAAGCTTCTGGGCTCGGCCATCTGTGCCCACAGCAAAGTGAGTGCCACGGAGAAGCTGCTGGGGCTTCTCACCCACCTGTGCCCCCCAGGGGCATCCCCTCCCCTACAGTGCCGCCAGAGGGCATCCGTCCTGCCACCACGGAGGAGGAGGAGAAGCAGGGACAGGAGAGGCGAGAGCAGCTGTGCTGCGGCGAGCAGAGCAGGCAGGGCTGGGCTCCGGCCTCAGCTCCACTGTGCAGACAACTTTGGCAAGTCACTCGGTTTCCCCATTTCTAAAATAGGGATAAGAACGCCTATACCTCTGGGATGAAATGAGCTTGTGCAAGGCAGCATGGCACAGGGGGTGGGCCACGCAGACAGCTTAGAATCCAAACTCTGCTAGTGTGACTTTGGAGATTTTCTGTAACCTCTCTGGGTCTTGGTTCCTGCGTTTATAAAACAGGGATGCTCTGCACTTACCTCACAGGTGGAAAGCGCTCAGAGCATACCCGGCTCGTAGGAAACATTTCATTGCTATTACATGTAGCCCAAAGCTCAACACCGAGCGCTTACTGTTACAGATTAGCTCATCCCAGGACGTGGGCACTGTTCCTGCCTCATCACACTGATAAGGGAGCCGATTTGGAAGAGGATGTAACCTGTCTGAGGCCACGCAGTCGGACTCAAACCCCAGGCAGCCTGGCTGCAGAGCCCGTGTTCGGTGGTCTCTGCTGGTCGCGGTGGAGTCACTTTCCAAGGGGAATCAGAAGCTGGGACAGTTGGGCTCGGTCCAGGCCCCTCCCAGAGTCCCTTGTGCTGGAGCGGGTGTGGGAGCCCAGGCCGGCAGAGCCCAGCACATCTAGAGCTGAGGTGCCCAGCGGGTCCAGAGCCATGCTGCTCCCTGAGTTTCCTTCCTGCTAGTCCAAGCCTTGGGTACCACTTTGTTTTACCATCCTCACCTTAGCTGGCCCCTGGAGGAATGAGGAGATCTTCTGGGTCTCAGCTCAGCAGGAAGAGCCCCTCAGAGGCCAGAGAAGGAGAAGCAGAGGGCAGGACCCCTGGGGTGGGCGTGCTTCAGGGGATAAGGTCAAGGCTGCCTTTGTTACCAAGAGAATATCGTCTTATGCCAACCTTGGCGAGTACATCAGACACTGTTGGTGCCAGGCCCTTTTTACCAGGAGGATGTGCCCAGCCCTCAGCTGCTCGGCTGTTGGCTGCTCATGCTCCCAGCTGTCCCCTTCTCTGGAGAGGTAAAGGAGCTGCCTTGCCCAGGAGGGTGTACTGTCCTAACCCTCCTCCCTACCCATAAGGGAAGCCCACAGCCAATGGCAGCTGGCGCAGGGCACATTTCTTCAGGTTGGGACCAGCCCTGTGGTGCAGTTTATACTCCAGAGCTGCCCAGGGGATCAGGCTGAAGGAGGCTCCAGCCAAGACCACATCTCTGCTTAGCTCCCTCTCCTGCGCTTCCTGGCTTCCCTCACTCCCTCTCTTCTGAGGGCCTCCCTCAATCAGCACAAGCCAAGAAGTCACATGCACCTAAATCCTTATCTCAGGCTCTGCTTCTGGCGCACTGGACCTAAGGCAAGTTGACACAGGGGAGCTCAGAGCTTTCCTTGTAAGTGTTAACACCACCTCCACTGGACAACGCAGAACACACTCACATGACTCCTGGGTTCCTACATCTCAGATATGCTGGTATCTCCTAGTAGAATAAACACAAACTTAGGGGTCAGATAGCAACCCAGTGCAAAATTCAGCTCAGCTGCCTTCCCGGTGTAAGGCTAAGAATGTTACTCTATTTTTAGGTGCTTCGTCTGTGGTTAAAATGTGAATCTTTCCGGCTGCACACATGAGAAAAGGTACACTTAAGTGCCTGGTAAGCAGTAGGTGCTCATTAATGGTAGCATTTGTTATTCCAGATATGCCTTTCCTCACAAACAGTGCAAATAAATATATAAGTAAAATTAAATACAAATTTAAAACACTTGGGAGTCTTCCATTTTTTGCTAGACACTTTTTTTTCTCTCTGTGCTATCTCTGACCACAGACTTTTTGAGGCCAGAGCTTTCTTTCTAGAAGGTCCTCCACCTGACCTTGTATTTTATCTTTTATCAGAGGACATGCTTATAACATCTACCCTTGCAACCTGGAAAGAGATGAGCTGATTCATGGCTCTGGAGGAAATCAGGACTAAAAATGCTGCTTAGGTCCTTGTCCTGTGTTCTCTCAGATTAGAATAGAGGACAATTGGATGTTTGTCAAGTAATTCCTGGGAAGAGGCAGGTCCGTGCTGCTGCCAGACCCCACGACTGGGGCCAGTGGGCAGAACTTCAAGACGAAATCACATCTCTGTGGTTGGAGACGAAAGGCAGAAAAAGAAACTGCTTGTCACGCTCTATGTCCCATTCCTCCCCGAAACACCGCCACTGCACACACTCTTAGCCATTCGCTGTTGCTGAGCTACAGAGCAGCTGCCAGGCTGCCCTTCACTTCCGGGCCAGGCAGTGTGTTTAGGAGGTGAGCACCTGCCTGGATTTGGGCCCAGCCTCCCCATTGGCTAGCAGCAAGAGCTTAGGCCAGCTCCTTCTCTAAGCCAGGTGAATGATCACTTACCAGTTCACTTCTTTATTCATTCTTTCAAAACACATGTACTCTGGGCCAAATTCCAGGCTGACCCCTCGGAGTTGGGGGCCCACGTTGTGCAGGGTTAGACTTTTAAAGTTAGAGTAGGCCAGGCTCCGCTTCCAGCACAGAATCACTGATGTCTTCTTGCCCACGTGGTGTCTGATGTGGGCCGGGTGGCCCTTGTTTGTCTTAAAAATGGGTTTTGAGTCTCCGGGGCAAGGGAAGAGGGGCTTGGATCATCCTGCAGAATGGACTTAAGGAGCGGGCAGTAAGTCGCTCCCCTCACTCCCCACACTGGCTTCACCCTAGTCCCTCAGCCCCAGGCTGACTGCAGAGAGCTCAGGCATGTGCCAGAGGCTGTGGGGATGCCACAGAGCTGCTGGCAAAAACTGTGTCAAGTCAGAATGATTTTAAGTAGTCCTGACTCTGTAAGTGATGACAAGGCATAGACTCGGGACACATTTTCACTCCTCATCAGGGACCATCATACCACCTCTTAGTAACCCAGCACAGCCAGGTTTTCTGTGCGTTCATGAACAGTTAGCTGTTCCCTTGGATAAGCAGCAGTTGAAACTCTGATTCACATTTGCGGGCCAGAGGGTATGAAGAGATATAGGAACCCTAGAACACACTCAACAAGTCAAGAGGCTCGCGCTCAGACAGCCCCTGGGGGTGGACTCTCCATTTGCCTGCTCCTTCTCAGCCTCCCGGGGGGACAGACACTCACCAAGGGGAGAGGCGGCCGCACTGCCCACTCCATCCAAACGAACCCATGGAGTGAACTCACACCAGAGCACCGTGCCCACAGCGCTGTGGGGCGAGCCAGGCCTTTTAATGGGTCGGAGATTCAGGGAAGTCTGTTTAGAAAACAGGGAAGGCATAAAAACAGGAACTCTAGCTCAAATATTTGGCAGACTTCCACAGTGGAGGTGACGTGTGTCTGAACTTGGCTTGAAGCTCTTTGGTTGGTCCCTTGGAAAGGCCCAGTTCCGGTAGCGAGACCAGTGTGAGCAGAGCCCAGCGGGGTGGGAAGCAGGAAGCTACCCCATCAGAGAGATTCTGTTCGCCAGAAGGCCAGCTCACCTGACGCAGGTGGCCAGGGAGGTGCTGTGTATCGGTGTGAGCAACTGTGTGCCCCGAGAGACTTTGCAGGAACCACAGGGCTCATCTCCAGCTTGTGTGCACCCATACCTGGACTTTCTTCTTTCCCAAATGACCATGCTGAACTCTGCAATGGGAATAGAATGGGAGAAACAGGAAGCGCCTTAGGGATTGAAACTTCAGTCATTTGCTGATCTTTGCCACATCTCTGCATCACCCACGCCGTTCCTTATCATTTTTCTCTGAATCACCTTGCTCTAGTCTACTTACTTATACATCCCAGTCTATAAGCATGATAGTATCCATGAAATAACAGGCTTTATGTGTTATTTATGCTAATTTTTAGAATGGCTTACATCAATATGTGACCGTTTAACATAGAAACTACGTATCTGCAGTACACATGGCACTTTCAGGAACTCTCTGGTTTTAAAACTGAAGAAATTATGGCTGGGGAAGAGAGTAATGTGCCCAGGGGCACACAGTAATTAGTGGCACAGCTTGGTCCCTGTCCATAGCTGTGTGCGCTATGCCGTGCCAGCTTCCCAGAAGTACTGAGCTCTTTCCTTGCTGTGCCCAGTCCTTTGAGAATCAAGACTCCTGAGTCCTCAGCCTTGTCTCTGAGGCAGCGGCCAGTTCCTCCTGCCTCTTGCCTCCCTGTGAAGCCTCTTGAGCTGTGATAACAAGGTCACTCTAAGGCAGAAATCTTCCCCTCCTAGAGCCATACGTTTGCTTTGTTAATGATGCACATTAACACATTGCACAGTGATGGGAGGTGAGGATCAGAGGTGAGTCACTCACCCACAGTCACAGAGTTGGGAAACCTAGGCTCCAGCTCCCCCAGTAACCTCCCAGTGACCACTCCCTGTCTGCTGCTCACTCTCCTAGGAGCTCATCACCGCCTGGTACATTGGGTTCCTGACGCTCATCCTTTCTTCATTTCTGGTCTACCTGGTTGAGAAAGATGTGCCGGAGGTGGATGCACAAGGAGGAGAGATGAAAGAGGAGTTTGAGACCTATGCAGACGCCCTTTGGTGGGGCCTGGTGAGTCACCCCTTGAAGGCCCCCCAACCCCCAGGGGTTGTTAGAAACCAAAGAGCTGAGGTGTGGCACTGGCGTGCACAGTCTGTGGCCACCGTCGGCTGAGGGCCTGCCCACATGGTATGCACTTGCAGCAGGCTTTCTATAGGGCGTAGAGGAAGTCAGGGGTCCGGAAGAGTCAGGTCCCATGGCCACTCAAGGATTCTACCTCATCAGTTGTTGGCTGTGACCAGCCAAACCATGCATGTACAAGGAGACTCAGTGGCAGAGCACATGCGTGCACACAGACCTTCAAAAACATGTAGAGATGCACAGCCACACACTCACAGGACATGTGCACTAAAGCTAGCATTGACTGAGGGCTTACTTTGCTCTGGAGCATTGCTCCACATACCTCACACTTACTAAGACATTTTAAATTCAAGCACCTCCCTTTATTAGCTCCTTACTTTAAAATGCAGAAACTGAGGCATGCAGAAGTTAAGGAATTAATTCAGTTAGGTCTCAGAGCCAGTAAGTAGCTGATGTGGGGTTTGAATTCAGGCAGTTTCTCTCCAGAAGCCACACTCGTAACTGCTGTCACATCCTGCGTTCCATGTTCTTAAGTGCAAGAGCACCAACAACTACATGTGAAAACACACCCAGCGATATGCAGCACACCCAGAACAGACGTGCGTGCAGACATTAGACCTGTGCACATACACATACAATGCATATAAATACACTCACAAGCACACATGGCTCCACAATCACACATACACAGATATACGCAAGAATGCACAGGCACACACACGTTTACAAATTATTTAATATTTGTTTACTGATTGACTACAGGTAGGAAATCCTTAAGTTGGAAACAGGTGTGGTTTCATGGCTCCATGTGAGTTAGTTGGTACTGCTTGCCTTTTCTCCGTGGGAAAAACATTCCCAGGGAGGACAGAGGGCCATCGGTGGGCTTGGTCAGAGCATTCTGATCAGTCCTCCCCGCCCCCAGGAGCCCCATGCCTGATCAGCGCCCCTCCCCCCCTCTGGGGAGCCCCGTGCCTGAACTCCTCTCTCTGCAGATCACACTGGCCACCATCGGCTATGGAGACAAGACGCCCAAAACGTGGGAAGGCCGTCTGATTGCAGCCACCTTTTCCTTAATTGGCGTCTCCTTTTTTGCCCTTCCAGCGGTAAGTACCTTCCATGTTCTCCCCACTATGACATGCAGGACCCTCACCATCTGGCCCAGCTGAACTTTGCAAATGCAGCCTTTATCCTGTCCTACCCTAAGTTCCAGCCCTGGTGGCTCAGTAGCCAGCCCCGTCAGCACAGTTCCCTGCCTTTTTGCCACGGCTGTGCTGCCCTTCTGCCCGGAGTGATCTCTCCATACGTCCACTCGTCCTCCCAGCCCCAGTTTCCATGCTGATTCTTTAGGCTGAGTTAGTTGCTCCCTCCTCCAGGCATAACTGTGTAAAGGCATTTCTGACCCCAGCTGGGATAGTACCTTCCTGCACCTGCCTCCCCCAGAGCTGTGAGCCCCTGGGTGGCTGGGATCACATCTTCCTCCCAGCACCTCGCACATAGTGGGTCCTTTGTATATGTGAGCTCCCTTCCTGTGCCTGTCACTTACTGGTTTTTGTGAAAAAGATGCATTTCCCTCAAAAGTGAGTCTTGACCCATGCGTGAATAACTTCTCTAAAGCCTGGGACCCCTAAGCATAATATGAGCAATGATAGATAGCATTTGTTGAACTTACTGTGTGCTGGAATCATGTCAAATACTTTACCTATAGCATCTCATTTCATTTGCATGATGACATTTTGAATTTGGTGCATGTGTCACCATTCTCCAGATGACGAAAGCAGAATCCCGGGGCTGCTGGTTCTGAAGCCTGGCTCTTCATCACAAAGCTTGCAAAGAAGCTTCTTACACAACAGTCCTATCCGCCCTTCATCTCCCATCCTTAGTTTGGTGACATTCTCTCTCCATCACAGCCCTACCTTGTCTCTAAGCTGTTTGACCTGGGCAGGGCCCATTCTGAAGCTCAGTTCCCTCATCTGTAACAGGCCAGGGGCTGTGGGGCGCTGCACAGCGTCTGAGTCCCTCTCAGCTTGAAGAGGATGCGCTTCCATCCATTTAACCCACACGCGAGTCTGACCTGGAAAAACAACAGATCACAGTTCTGAGAAATTCCAGCTATAGTAGAAATCTCAAGTGACAATTCAAGCAGCTGAAATATTTGTTTAAAGTCTGGGAACATTTACTGGTCATCTTCTGTGTCATGCCCCTTGTCCCCCTTACTAAGCAGGTCCTGTACATTAGTTCACTTTCTCCTTAGCAAATTACAAGGCGGGCCTAGTACCCCTATGAAGCGGGCCCCGTTCTCCCTATGAGGCAGGGTCCGGTCTCCCACTTCCCTACGAAGGAGACAGAGATGCAGCAGATGGAGGCTTGGCCAGGGTCTCAGCACTGGAAGCGGCAGAGTTGGGGGCAGAAACCAGGCCTTCCTGACTTCATGGCTCCATGTAGCCCAGCAGCCCTTGCAGAGACGGGAGGGGTGTCCCCTTCTCCCCATGCTCAGCGCCTTCACTGTGGCCCCAGGAGGGGGTGGGCTGACCTCGGGGCCTGCCTTCTCCCCCCCAGGGCATCCTGGGGTCAGGACTGGCCCTCAAGGTGCAGGAACAGCACCGGCAGAAACACTTTGAGAAGAGGAGGAAGCCAGCCGCCGAGCTCATCCAGGTGTGTGCCGGGGCCCTGGGACGGCCACACTCTCCGTGTCTGCATTCGTGTGTGCACGTGTGTACGTGTGCACGCCTGTGCAGGAGTGGGCATGCCCATGAACCAGGGCAGGACCCAGGACCGTGCTTGCTTGTGGGTGTCTGGGTGTTGCTGGTGTTACCTGTTTGACCTGTGTACAGAATGCGACAGTCCTGTCACTCTCCCTGCCAGGTTCTAAGCCAAGCAGGAAATAGACAAAAGACTCAGACAGGGACTGATGCATCAGCTGTTTTACTAGTAGCATTGGAGTGGAGAGTTTGGGGTGGGCCTGAGTCCATTCTAGGCTTCTACTTCCCACTCCAGTCTTGACCTAGAAGTCCTCGAGGAAGAGTCAGCCTAGAGTCCAGGGGCTGAGCCAGTTGGCTATAAGGAGATGTGCTCCCTCACATCTGCTAAGGATAGAGTACCCATGCCAAGAGAGGAAGAGATGCCTCACCCAGGCAAAATATTGGGCAGTTTGCCCATTTGTCCTGCCCAATAGACAGGCAAGCACTGGTGTACATTGGAGGCCTGCCAGCTGTCTGACTCTGTCATTGCCCACACCGTGCACTGGAAGTTGGGAGACTAGTGAGAGGTGGTAAGAAAGGCAGAATAGTGTCCTTGTACTTCAGAGAGAGCTCCTGCTCCGTGGCTACATGGGCTGATGAGCACACAGAGAATAGGGAAATGGAGTGTTGTGGCTATAGCTGCGCAGGGTTGAATGTCTGCATGACCACCTGCTTGTGAATTTGTGTTCTGTTGCGTGAGTGTGTCAGTGGGTCAGTGGGTCAGATACTGGGTGGTACGTGATGTTATCCTTTGTACCATAGTTTCTATGCCAGTCCCCATCGCTGAGTTATCAATGCTCCATTATTCCCCAGGCCCCAAACCTTTGCAGTCTCACCAAAGTTCTAATCTATTAGAATTAAAGCCTCATCTCCGGGGCTCTCTAGTACCCAGAAATGGCACAGAAGACAGTGTTCATCTTCCCACCTACTTGAGAAGTCTCGGGGAACCTGGCAGCAAGAGCCAGCCTGCTCCTTTCAGGACTTTACACCCAGCGCCCTGCCCTGCAGCTCATCTCCCGGCCCCACCCCCTCACTGCCCATGGTAGCTCCCAGGTGATGGGGTCAAGGAAGGTTTTCTTCCCCAAGGAGCTACAAAAAGCCAAGAATCTCAGCTTCCCTGGATGTTACCTAAATGCATATTCAGACTCGTAGGAGTCAAGGGCCGTGGGGGCATTCTGACACGGGGTGTCCTGTGTGACACTCTGCCCCTTCTCTCCTCCTCAGGCTGCCTGGAGATATTATGCTACAAACCCCAACAGGATTGACCTTGTAGCAACATGGCGTTTCTATGAATCAGTCGTCTCTTTTCCCTTCTTCAGGCAAGTGGCGGCCCGTTTGAGTGCTCAGAGCATGGCTAACCATCCTCCTGTGGTCTGTACTTGTGCCAGTGGTCTTTGTGGTTTCCTGGGGCACATCCTTCAGGGTAGTGGGTCCTAGTCTGAGCTGCACGTTTGAATCATAAAAAATCCCCAATGCTCAAGGCCACACTCTGGGCTAATTAAGTCAGAATTCCCAGGAGTGGGGCCCAGGCATCAGTATTTTTTCAAGTTCCCCAGAGGGCCCTAGTGACAGTGACCTTGAACTCAAAGGCAAGAACATGTACAACCACACTGAATGCAGAACCAAGATGATTTCCATTTGCTATGCATCCCAAGGCCTTGGCACAAGGCCCATTCTTTTGGGTTGATTTATTATAAATAAGGCATTGTCCTAGCTGTCTGAGACGTGGAGGGATGCATTGTGCTGCAGACAGCTGCTGTGATATGGGAATGGCTTTTCGACTAAGAGAGAACGTTTCTTTCTTTCTTCTCTTCAAGGACAAAAGTATAAAGTCACTAGAGAAATTCACTTGGCAACCGTTCTGAAGCAAGGTAGTCCCTTGGGAAAGGAATAGCCCTGAATTCCAACCTACTCCATATGTTTAATGGCAAAGGAGGAGATGATAATACACTGGTGTTTCCTCACCTGCCTCCTAAAGACTTTTTGTCTTTTGTTTATGCTTTTTTTTTTAATGACTTTATTGAGATATGTTTCACAGGCTGTAAGAGGATTTCACATACACTAAAAGGTACTCTTCTAAAATGGATAATTTGGTGGTTTTTATATTTATAAAACTGGGCACGATCATGTAGTCTGACTCCAGAGCATTTCCATCAACCCAGAAAGAAACCCTGTCCCCATTAGCAGTCAGTCTTCCCTCCTGTTTTCCCTGAGTCCCTGCAACTACTAATCTATTTAATATCTCTATTCTGCATATTCTGGACATTGCATATAAAAATGTGATTTTAGAATATGTGGTCTTTTATGTATACTTTATTACATTTAACATGTTCCCAGGTTTCATCTGTGTTGTCACATGCATAGGAATGTTATTCCTTTTTATGGATGACCAATATTCCTTTATTCGATGGCCCATTGTGTTTATCTGTCCATCAGTTGATGCACATTCGGGTTGTTTCCACTTTTTGGTTATTATGCTGACGTACATGTCATGTGGACATACGCTTTCTGTTCTCCTGTGTATATACCTAGGATTGGCAATAGTAACTCAATGTTTAACTTTTTGAGGAACTGCCAGACTATTGTCTGTGGTGGCTGCACCATTTTTCCTTCCTCCCAGAGGTTGTGAAGGATGAAGTTGCACAACACATCTCTAGCCATGATGCTACGTGAAACTCTCCAGCTCAGGGGAGCCCTTTGTTAGTTTCCAAGGATATATATGTTTAGGGCTAGCATGGATGGAGAACGATGGTGCCTTTTCATTTTTCTTTTGTTAATACTTAATACTTTAATGATAAACTTAAATACTAATATTAAAATGATAAACTCGTGGTTTTTCCATTGTAATAGGCCTCAGAGAGTTTCAAGTCTAAACCCAATTTTATATGAGAAGAACCTGAGGCCTCCAAAACTTCAGGAATTGCTCAAGGGCACACACATCGTTGGGCACAGCTGAGACCAAACTCAGGTCTTCTCATCTGCTGGTCAGTGGAGACAGTGGAGGCTTAGTACAAGAAGGGGATGGGCATCTGAGAAGGTACAGGGAGATGATGCAGGAGGGATGATAGACAGGCCATTCTCACGTGGAAGCAGAGATGAAGGCTGACGTTAAAAACCAGACCTTGCTCTCCATCAGCAGAGGACCAGTTTGTTCCATAAAAGTGATGACAGCCGTGCTGTCCAAGATGCTAACCACCAGCCACTTGTAGCTTTTGAGCCGTGTCTGTTACTAGTGCACCTTAGGACTGAATTATTTAATTTTAATTTTAATAGCCATATGTGGCTACATCTTGGGCAGTATAGCTTTGGAATCATTAGATATGAGAATGAAAATGGAAATGAGGCGTAGGCCGAAGAAGTAGAAGTTACTTGCCCAAAAAGATTCAGTTCATTTATTGTATATACAGACCTTGTTCCTTTGTTGACCAGGGTCCAGATTATTGGAACGCTTAACGATAGAGATGGGGGACGACATGCAGCAATTCCTCCCTACGGCCAAATAACACTGGATCTGCTTTCAGACACACTGTGTTATTTAATCTTTAGAATGGCCTGGAAGATAAGTAGAATGGGTAACCCCATTTTTCATAACCCAGATTTTATAGGTGAAGAATCAGAGCATCAGTGAGACTAATTAGCTTGCCTAATTTTACCCAGCTGGTAAGTGATAGAACTAAGATTGGAACCCAGGTCTTAGGCCAAAGCCCATTGTATCTCTGGGAACAAGAAGTGTTTTAGAGAGAAAATTAGGATGAGAGAAGTGTTACTGGATAATAATACCTATTTCTGAAAGTGAAACCGAATAAAATATGTGAAAACACCTGTGAAATAAGTCGAAGTACCTGGCCCATAGTAGGTGTTCAGGCTGTGCTGGAACAATCTGGGCTGGAAGGAAGCATCGGTGTTACAGTGGGAAAGGAAGATACTACGCTCCCAAATTATAGTCTTGGGAAACCACTGTTGAATGACAGCAGGCCTAAAACACCCTGTCAGGAATGTGGTTACAGATCTTTTATTCACTTACCCCATTTATTCATTCAGCAAATATTTACTGAGCATCTCCTATGTGCTAAGCACTGTGTTTGGCATTGGGGACGTAAGAGTGCACAGAAAGGGGGCAGCTGTGCTGATCTTGTCACAGGTGGATGGAGACACAGAAGAGCCCATTGGATGTTACCGCTTGGAGTTGGTCTGGGCTTTGAGTAGAGTAGTGCCAGTGGAGCGGTGGGCATAGAAGCCGGCTGACAGGCAGTGAGCACGTGACGACAGCAAGCGCAGATGACAGCTGCAGTGGGACATGGGGCCAGGGTTCTTCCCTGCACGGAAAGGGTCTGGTAGAGAGAACTAGATGTGGAAGCAGTGGGGAGGGGAAGGACTCGTGAAGAGAGCAGGGTAGGAGGCGTGGGCTCTGAAGCGTGAGTGAGGATTGGCCATCCGTAGCGTGCACCTTTCATCCGTCAGCACAGAAGAGAAGCCAGGTGGGTGGAGCCAGTTGTAAGAGGTTGTCAGTTTGGTGGTGGACCGTGGGGCAGGCAGATCTAGCTCACTGAGAGGTGAGTCAAGGTCGTGAGCTGATGGGAAAGCGTGGTGGTAGAGGAGAAGGCGTGACATGTTGTCTTGGAGAGTGAGAGAGTGGTGTCTCTAATTCCTTAATACCATTTCCCATAGTACCTTTGGCCTTGATCCTGCCCAGTCTACTCCCTCACCTTTCTCTTCTCTTATTGCTTTCCCTACTTCTCCTGAAATCAGAGACCCAGAGAACTCCAGGAAATCAGAGCATTTTCTCTCCAGGTGCTTCTGGTAACTTGTGGAGTTTAACTCTCCAACTGGCCCTTTTACTTCTCTACCATGGTGCTTCTGTTCTCTCCCCATTTCTCCTGTTCCTTGATTCCAGTGACAGGCCAGTACCCATTCCATATTTGTCAGGGCATGGGGTGCTCAAGTTTGAGAGATGAAGGAAAACAGAGGCTTTGTTTTCCCCTAGGCAGCTCATGGATGACCACATAATTCTAAGACAATGTGATCTGAGTTCAGTGCCTTGGGGAAGAGGTTAGCTCAGTCTAGACTCTGGGGAGTTGGGTAAGAAACCCAAGCAGGAGCCAGCCTCTCTAGCTAGAACTTTTTTAAACTGATAAGAACAGATACTACACTTGATCTTAGCCAAAAGGCTGAGAAGCGATAGCTATAACTTTTTTAAAGGAAACATTAAGTCTGCTCCCAGAAGAGAAAAAAGAATGGGAGTTCTAAGCAGAGGCTAAGCAAAGGTCAGAGTCACGAATGTGTCGATGCCACATGTGGCCTCACAGTTAGGAGCGTGGGCTGTGGACCCAGGTCATGTGGGTTTGAATCCTGACTCCGCTTTCTGACCATGACACCTTGAACAACTTAGTTAACTTCTCTGTGCCTGTTTTCTCATCAGGAAAATGGGAATAATACTAATACTTACCTCATAGGGTTGTTATAAGGATTAAATGAGTTAATCCATAAAAAGCACTTAAAATAGTAACTGCCTAGTAATTATTGCTCAGTAAATATTAGTGATGATATGATGGTGATGTCAACAATGATGGTGATGGTGACAGAGGGACCAGGTGTGCGGCTGCTGAATTACAAAATTCCTGGTTTCCTGGTCTGTCTCTGTAGATCAACAGATCCCCTGAGCCCAGCACCACCAGCCAGGCTCAGAGCCAGTCCAGCAGAGTAAAAGCCTGGGGTCTGGTCAGGCAAACCCACCTCCTTCTGTGGGCCCCCTCCCACTCACCATCTTGCTTAGAGCTCCACCCTGCTTCTTTGTCTTCATTAAAGGGAAGCCATGGGGAAACTGGGGGGAAAAGGGAAAGCTATTGCATGTAATTTATACTTTGTTTATTTCTTTCTCCCTCATCTCCTTATAGGAAAGAACAGCTGGAGGCAGCAGCCAGGTACGTTTCTGATTATGAATCCCCTTCTTCCCATGAGTGTTTTGGGACAGAGGGTCCAATTCCGCGTGGTGTAGTGCCCCTGGGCAGCACGCTGGTCACAAGATAGTGTTTCGGGGCTCATGGCTGCTGCCTGTTGCTGGCCACCATATTCCTCCGCCATTCTCATGTTAATTTACACAAGGACAACTTAGCAGGATCACAGCAGCAGACACTTACTGAGTGTGTCCTCCAGGCCAGATTCTGTGCCTGGAGTCCTGAATGTGTTTTCTCGTTTAGTCCTCATAAACACAGAGAGGCCCTCCTGTCCTCATTTATGGATGGAAGAGACGGGTTCAGAGAGGTTGAGTTATTCTCCCAGGTCACACAGCCACTGAGAGGCAAGACCAATATTCTCACTTGGGTCTGGGTATTAAGACCATGTTATTCCCACTGTATCTGGCTTCATTTGCTTCTTGGGTTCACAGGTAGTTCTTCACAAAGTGAATCAAGACTGTAACTCGTGATCCCACCTAGACCGCTCTCACTGCAGGCGGCTGCTGAGGCAGGCTGCGCTTCCAGATTAGGAGCATTCCCTACCCGGCCTTTCTCACTCCATCTCAACAAGGTGTCACCGTAGCAGGGAGGCAATGGACCCTGCTCCAGACTGTAGAGCAAAACCATCTCTCTCAAACATCCGTTGAAGCTACTTAGATATGTAATCTACATAATGTATGCAAAAGTATACATTTCATCTATAATTGTTGATAAACTACTGCTGAGGCCTTGAAGTCAGTCTCCTGATGCTCCACTGCTGTCCATGGAAAGCTGACAGAATTTGGGCAGAGCAGGTGTCAGACCCTGGGCCACATTGTAGGAGAACCACTTGAGGACAATGGCCTTTGGGATGCTGGGTCAAGTCCTCTTGAATGGGGCCCCTGATGCCGTGCATAACCCCTCTGGGCGGCCATGTCACACACAGCCCCTGTGGCTTACATGCAGAGGTACGGTTCGGGCTTCCAGCCTCCTTTGGGCCTGTTCTCAAATGGGCTGTTTCTTCCCTGGACCCAGTTCAGACTGTAGGAGGCATCTGGGGAGATTGCAGACAAGGGCTGGAGAATTGACAATGACAGTGTGAGGGGACATGTGCTAGAGAACCCCCAGCAGCACACGGCTCACAGAGGCAGAGCAGGGCGACCTCAGAGGTCATCTCCTGGAGGCTTTTATAGAAGCCACAGCCTCCAAGAGGGCAGGCTGGCCCTAAGTTTCAGAGCCCCTGAGTACCAGGACTTTCACCGGCCAGGCCTCAGGTCCCCCAAAGGAGTGCTCTGTCCCCTCATTCTCTTGCAGGGTTTTAAATCATGTAGATGTTGACACTGTGTGTGAGTTCCTAAATCTACCCTTACAGCCTTTTCTGTACAGACATGAGCAGAATTTAGCCAGACTGGAAAGTACACTACATGAAAAATAGCACCGTGCTTTGGATTAGGCACTCCTGGTCTAAGCAGATTCCAGGTAGTTGCATCTTGAGGCTTTCCTAGGTATGCTTCTCCAGTTACTAAGAAGGGGCTCTCTGAAATCTGATCACTGAGTTGCTCAGTCCCCTCTCACGAACTCTCCACTCTGCCAGGGGTGTGGAGGGAAAATACGTTCTGTGATTTCTCAGGGTTAGAGTTTCTGGGTGTTTGCTGGCTCATTTTCCTCAGAGAAGGAGAGCTCAGTTATATAAGCCCCTCACTCTCCCCCATCCGGGCTCGTGGTGCATTATTTTGGGTTTATCTGACAAAGAAGTTTGGCTGATGGAGTGACAGGTGAGATGCCAGGTGTGATTGTAGCTAAGAAACCTGGAGCAGCGGTGTGCGATCTAGCGGGAGGATGGGTAGATCGTCAAACCAGGAATCAGTGCCTTTACTCAAGAAGGCGGAAGAAAGACTGGAAAGTGGTCAGCAATGTACATGTGTTTTAGAATGGTACTTTTTCTGTAATAGTACACTTAGAAAATGATGTACATTTTCTGTCTTAGGATTAGCTTCTTCAATAGGTTATCACTAACCAATGTTTCATTATTATTTCTAAATTTCTGGATTCAGCTTCGGAGTTGGTCATGTTTTCCTCTTCTAGCATAGGTAGCCCACACATTTGTTTGTCAGCCTGAGGAAAGAGTTCTGTTCCCTGACACCTAACAGATCCTGGTTGTGGGTTGGGGTGAGAAAATGCAGAGTTTAGTTCCCTGTTGGAAGAAGTCAAGCCCATATGTAGTCACTTATAAGGCTGTTCCCACCCCCACCAAGGGGTCACCAGAGGGATGGGCTTCTCATGTCCCACGGACAGAGCTTCCTTGACTCTTCTGATCTGTGCAGATTTGTCTGAGGAACTCAGGTCCTGCAGACTTCCTGTGATCACTGGGAGGTTGGCTGTGATAATTTTATGCTTCTTTCTCAGGATCTATGATTCTGAGGTTAATCTGAAGGAAGAGAGCCAATTTCTATTGTGTGGGCTTACAAGGACCTAAGCACTTACATAGGTCATTGTAGTTCATTTTTTATAAAAGTGAGGGCAGTTGACACCTCCCATCCTTTCTCACCTCGCTTAGATGTACCACTCACAGCACCTCTAGCAAGGACTCAGCATCTTCCTAATAAAGCCTTTGTTTATATATAGTGAAAACTTTTAAAATTCTTTCTTCCTCTCTAGACCATGAGTTCCATAGGCTTATACTGTGCTTGAAATATAGGATGCACTCCATAAATATTTTCTCAGTGAATAAATGAATTAATGAAAAGACATGTACCATCATTTTACTTATGAGGAAAGTGAGCTCAAGTATTTACATAACTTAAACCCACGCCAAGCTGAAAATAGCCAAGGCAGGGTTTCACACACAGGTCTGTCCAGCTATAAGACCACATTAGGCCGAGTCCCCGTGGCACAGGTGGTTGCCATGCCTCCCTTGCAGCCCAGGAGTAGAGAGTGACACGTGATCTTAGCCCTGTTCTCCCTTGGCCAGGCTGGGAATGTGTATCTCACGCTGTCATGTAGCTCCCTCCTCCACTTCGTCTGGGATTCTGCCTAATGTCACTTCCCAAGAGAGACCCTCCATGACCCTCTGGCCACACCTCATCAGTCGCTAGACCCTTGGTCCTGCTCCTTATTCACTGCCTGATCTCCAGCTCCTGAAACTGTGCTTGGAACCCATCCTGGCACATGGTTGGATTTCCGTAGATATTCATTTACTAAAAAAGTGCTGGATGGATGGATGGACAAACTCTTAATCCTACAAGTGTCATAAACCCAACTTAAACTAACTTGGACTAAGAGGGAGATGTAATGGCTTACATAGCACCTCATCAGAGAAGGTGGGGACCCCTGGGAAACGAGGAATGGGACCCTTCTGGGATTTCTCTCTTCTGTTCTCGTCTCTGCTTCCCTTTTTTGCCCTGGCCCTCAGCTGATTTCTCCATACTGTTGAAGGTGTGGATACCAGCAGCCCTAGGATCAGGTATTTCTCCTTTTCTTCTGTCCATCTATCCTTCACCCAACTCCAAGTCAGAAAATCCCAGGGACGCACTTCGATCGGCCCATGGGCCACATCCTCATACCTTGGGAAATATCTATGGCTCAGAGGGTAAGAGACTGGTTCACGCATGCAGCTGTTGGAGCAGAGTGGTGTGGGCTCAAGATAACATGATTGACAGTCCCTAGAGCCACTTGGTTGAAGAAGAGGAATCAGTTCCTTTTTCCCAAAGAGTATGGCATGAAACGGAGCAGACAAAAAATGACAGTTGCCCATGACAGGCATAAACTCTACCCATAAATTTTCAAATCCCTCAAAGTAATATTGCATTAAAGAACACCAACAATAAACCATGCTGCGTCTCATTTATTCTGTAAATTATACCATAAAAAACTGATATTTTATGGGACATCATTTAACCACCAATTGTAACTATTCAGTAAACGTGCATCAGTGCTGATAATTAGGGGCATTTGTTTGAAAGAAACCAGCATTTTTTGAATTTTTGAAACAAACAACTGTGTTGACAATAACCCCTCGCTTGAGCTCAGTTGTTCACTTGGTGTTTTCAAACAATCCAATCTGAACAGCAGCCTTCTGGACTCTTCTCTGTGTTGGTCTTTGGAGCAGGAGGAAATTTGTTCCAGGCATTTTCTTTGTCTTCTGTCTCCTTATTGTGTTCTTACCATTAAATTTAGTAGAGGATCATTCTTTGGGTCAAAGAATTCAAGTATAATATCAATAGTTTATAAAGAATGCTTACTGTTTGCCAGGTATAGTTCTAAGCACATTGAGTCCTATCAGTAGATATTATTTTCATACCCATTTTATAGGTGAGAAAAATGAGGTTCCAAAGGTAAGTGACTTGCACAGAGTCACACAGCTAGACAGTAGCAAGAGCAGGACTTGGATCTGGTTGGTCTATTCGCACGGTATGTGGTCCCAGGCACCATTCTGGCCCTCACAGTCCTTGGGGACAGTTAGCTGATCAGTCGCTGCATATACCTCCCTCCCTTTCTTGCTCTTCTACTGTTTCATGACTCATGTGGCTGGAGTCCCTGCCATGAGAGGAGTCTGTGGAGCAGGGAAAGGCACAGAGCCAGGACCTGTTCTTCAAGCTGAAGGAGCATTTGGTCAGACACCATGGCCTCCTCCCTAGGACATCAATCACATGAAATTCACCTCACAGGGTGATGGATGATGTTCATGGTAAACCTCCTTCCCTGTATGAGAATCAATGACTATTAAACGTGTGCAGGAATTTTTAGATCAATTAATCCAATCCTCCAGTTTTACTGATGAGGAAATTCTTACCCAGAGCAAAATGAAAGTCTTGGACACAATTTCATAGCTGTTGGCTCCAGTCATCCAGATCCTGCAACACACTGGTCCCAAGCTGTGGAGGAGCTGAGATGCAGGGGGGAGATTGGGACCAATTTTGTGTAACCTCAGAGTGACCCCTCACCTGTTATAAGGGCTTTGTCTCAATTGTCCTTTTGGAATATGGAAA